AGGGCTGTGCTGTGCTGCACCGTGCTGAATTGCGATGTGCCATGCCGCGGTTGTGCTCTATAGCGTCGTGGATCGAGTCTTCCTTTGCATCCGAGTCCTGACCGAACTGATCTGGATCTTAAGCTCGAGCTGCCTGAACACGTAGTAGCTGCCCCAGAGCTAATTGACAGGGGGACATGCCAGGAGGACGCGCCGCGAAACGTCCCAAGGGACGCGCCAGGCGACGTGCCAGGGGACGTGCCATGGGGTCGCACCGTAGGACGTGCCAAGGGGACGCGCTACGGAACGTGCCCATGGATGTGCCACGGAATGTGCCAGGGGACGCGCCACGCGACGTGCCAGGGGGACTCGCCAAGGGACGCCCCACAAAACGTGCCAAGGAACGTGCCAGGTTGCAATGCTGATTGTATCGATCTTGACGTACCGTGCCGAAGTCTGTGTTGTGCTGCACCGTGCTGAATTGCGATGTGCCATGCCGCGGTTGTGCTCTATAGCGTCGTGGATCGAGTCCTCCTTTGCATCCGAGTCCTGACCGAACTGATCTGGATCTTAAGCTCGAGCTGCCTGAACACATAGTAGCTGCCCCACAGCTAATTGACAGGGGAACATGCCAGGAGGACGCGCCGCGAAAAGTCCCAAGGGATGCGCCAGGCGACGTGCCAGGGGACGTGCCATGGGGACGCACCGCGGGACGTGCCAAGGGGACGCGCTACGGAATGTGCTGGGGACAACCGTTTCGCTCGAGACATCCTGTCAAAATCCTCATTCTAGACATCCGCCTGAGCGACCTGGACACGTGAAAACAAACGTTTCGCTCAACACATCCTCAACACATTCTCATGCTAGACATCCGCCTGGGCGAACTGGACACGTGAAAACAAGTAGTTCGATCGAGACATCCTCAACACATCTTCATGTGAGACGTCCGCCTGGGTGACCTGGGCACGTGAAAACAAGCGTTTCGCTCGAGACGTTTTCAACACCTCCTCATTCTAGACATCCGCCTTGGCGACCTGTACACGTGAAAGCAAACGTCTCGCTCGAGACATCCTCACCGCATCTTCATGTTAGACATCCGCCTGGGCGACCTGGACACGTGCAAACAAGCGTATCTCTCGAGACATGTTCAACACATCCTCATGCTAGGCATCCGCCTGGGCAACCTGGACACGTGCAAACAAGCATCTCGATCGAGACTTCCTCAACACCTCCTCATTCTAGACATCCGCCTGGGCGACGAGGACGCGTGAAACCAAGCGTCTCGCTCGAGAAACCCTCAACTAATCCTGGCGCTTGACCTCTGCCTGGGCAACCTGGAGGCGTGAAACCAAGCGTCTCGCTCGAGACATCCTCAAGACCTGGGCACGTGAAACCAAGCATTTCACTTGAGAAATCCTCTAAATTCTGGTCCCCAGGAGAAGACAATATATAACACAAAACAAGCGTTTCGCTCGAGACATCCTCAACAAATTCTGAGAAACAAGCGTTTCGCTCGAGACATCCTGAATTGTTAATTCGCCGGCCCTCTTCCCACTCGTTATTTATCGCAAAAGAAATGCGCCGGCCCTCTTCCCGTCAAACCCGGGGGGAAACCATCTAAATAAAAAGAGAACCCTGGGCTCAAGCCCTTTCCGGGAATAAAAGAGAACCCTGGGCTCAAGCCCTTTCCGGGAAAAAGGAACCGCCCTCCATCCGCGTAGCTCGTGCACCACTCTTAGCTGGTCGTACATTCGATTGACATCTCAAGTGGGAGATCCCAGTTTTAAACCGAACCGCCCTCCATCTGTGAAGCTGCTGCACACACACATGCAAGTGCTGTGCTATGTCGTGAGGAAGCCTCCAGCGCGAGCCCCAGATGAAGACGTACTGGCACTCATCCTTGCAGCTGCTGAGAGAAGGCGAACGCGTGCGGTGCCGAAGCGAGAGCCACACGTTGAACCTGCACCGTCCTCCCCCCGTGCGACCGTTGGACCTCTCACGCTTCCGGACAAGCTCTAGCAGCAGCCTCTGGGAGCTGCGCCCAGCGCCCTGCCTGCGGACACGCGTGTGCGACAGGGAGGCGCTGCTTATGGACCAGAGGGGTGGACGAGGACGACGAGGCCGAGGAGGGGCAAGAGGAGGAGGAGGAGGAGCAGGAGGAGGAGGAGGAGGAGGAGGAGGAGGAGGACGACGAGGCCGAGGAGGGGAAAGAGGAGGAGGAGGAGAAGGAGGAGGAGGAGGAGGAGGAGGAGGAGGAGGAGGAGGAGGAGGAGGACGACGAGGCCGAGGAGGGGAATGAGGAGGAACGCCTCTTCTTGGCGCTCGCGGACGTGTTGCCCCTCTGCTGCCCGGGCTTCCTGTTGGCGTAGCCCCCGTGGTAGATGTGCTGGTACGGGTCGAAGGCCGGCGTGCTGTTGTCGCTGCTGTTGTCGCCCGCTGCGAGGGGGGGGCTCGTCGCTGTCGTCCACGAGCGCGTCTGGCTTAGCGTGCTGCTGCTCGTCGTGCTGGTCGTGGTGGGCGTGGGCGGCGCGGAGGTCGTGGAGGTCGTGGTGGTGACGGTGCTCGGGGCCGCGGCCTCGCCGGGCGCCAGCGTTGTGGTGGTCGAGGTGGTGATCCGCCACCGTGCCGCTGGGCACGGAGTTGGCGGGCCCGAAGGCCCTGGGCCCAATCCTCAAAGCACCCCGGAGGAGTCTTCCGAGGGCCCGGGCCCCAATCTCCGAGCTCTCCTCCGGCTCGGCGCGTGCCCTCTGGGCTCCGGCACGCCCTCGTCGCGCCCACTTCTCGGGCCCGCGCGGGGCCCCGCGGGGCCCCCAAGACGGCCCAAGAGGGCCCCGAGCCGCCAAAAGATCGGCCCAAGACGCCCAAGATGGCCCCCAGACGGCCCCAGGAAGCCTCCAAGGCGCCCCAGGAGGCCTCCAAGAGGTCTCCCCGAGAGGCCCCAAGAGGCCAAAATCATAGATTTTCCTGCGTTGTTTCATTGAGGCCCCCAAGACCGCCCCCAGAGGCCCCCAAGACGGCGCCATGACGGCCCAACAGGGCCCCAAGACGGCCGCAAAGGCGCCCAAGACGGCCGGCCCAAGAGGGCCCCAAGACGGTCCCGCAAGGGCCCGAGAGGGGGAGCCCGAAAATTCTAGCCTTCTGCCATACGAGGGCTCTCGGAGGCCCCCAGAGGCCCCCAAGACGTCCCAAGAGGCCCCCAAGAGGCCGCCAAAGGCCCCCAAGAGGCCCAGACGAGGCCCGGCCCCAAAGCGGCCCCCAAGAGACTTCCAAGAGACCTCCAAGAGGCCCCCGAGAGGCCTCCCACGCGGGATGGGCCGAAGGCCATTCGATAGTCGTGGAGATCGTCGTGGTGGTTGTGGACGTAGTTGTGGAGGACGTCGTCGACACGGCTCGGGGCAGTGAAGTTCTAAGAAGGTCGTAGTGCAGCAGGCTCCCGAACGTGTCGTCGTACGTCAGCGAGGCCCAGGACATGGCCACCGAGCAGGCCTGCGAGCCAGGCATGTCCATGCCCAGGGACACGACGATGGCCCTCCTCTGCAGGACCAGAACGGCATAGACATAACCTTTCAAAGATCTGCGCGGATTTCTTGAGACGGTCATGCCCCCCTTCTCCGCAAACCCCAAGGCGGCGCCAGAGAAAGGGCGTGTGAGGGACTGATGGAAAGGGGACTAGTGCCGACGCAAAACATCCGCGTGGACCTCCGAGTATTTCTGCTTATAGAACCTAGGCCGGCATGGCCAGAAATATTCGGAGCTCCGCGCAGCTTTCTTGGATCTGCACCAGGCTCCCCTCCCTGGCGCTCGGAGCGCGCCAGGGGCGGTGCGGGAGGCGCCGCCAGGGGGCTCCAGCGCATATCCAAGAACTCCGCGCCGGCCTGCAAAGTCTACATTTCTGCAAGTGTCTCTTCTGCGACTTACTCTTCCGGGGGGTGTTCGACTCCTCTAGAGGCCTCCTTGATGGGGTCCGAGTAGATGAGGTCGGAGGATCAAGCCGCATTGGCGATGCATCAACGATGCAGCGACGTCGGCGTGGAGAAAAGTGGGGCCCACATCGAGCCACGTCGCCGATGCATCGCCGATGCATCGACGATGCGGCGCGATCCTCCAACCCCATCTACTCCGACCCCTTTTATAGAAGAAGAGCACAAGGTATAAACATAAACTTTTGGCGCTCCGCGCGGACTTCTTGGATCCGCGCTGGAGCCCCTCCCTGGCGCGCGGAGCGCGCCAGGGGCGGTGCCAGAGGCGCCGCAGGAGGGGACTAAGCGCGGATCCAAGAAATCCGCGCGGAGCGCCACAAGTTGATGTTGATGGCGTTGTTGTTCTTCTTCTTCTAATCTAGGAGGCTTAGGTCCTTTGCGGCAGGACGATCAGGTACTTGGTCAGGTAGCCCGTCGCCATCCAGGCGTCCTCGCTGGGGGTTCCGAGGATCGGCGGGGACGGCACCGAGATGCAGACGCCGCAAGTGCACATGCAGCAGGAGCTGTCGCCGGGCTCCGGGGCGCGGTTCAACCAGAGGACGGAGGAACAAAAATAACCGCACAAGCATTAGGTCGGGCCTGTCCCCCTGTCAAAGAATACACCAAAAATAATCAGAAATGGTCAAAAAACGTCATCCCCTGACTATTTTGTGAATGACTTTTTGAATATCCGCCCTGACCAGGGACAGGCCCGACTTAACACAAGCACTCACTCTCGGAGGGCCGCTCGGATTTTAAGCTGCACCTCGACGTGCATCTTCAGGCATCCGGTTCAGTCTGAGCCATGGCTGGATCACATCGGGCATGCAACTTCTTAGGGCCCCCTTGGCAAGCCCACCACCACCAAGAGGCACCCCGTGACAGACGCAGCTCTTGCCTCTGCAAAGCTGTCGTCGTACAGAGAGTCATTGGTTCACTTCACTGGGAAGAAAACTGTCGGGCTGGTCTGGCTGCACGCAAGAGTGACCCTGGGCAGGAGTGACCTCTGGTGCGCGGCTACACGGGGGACGCGGGGTGGCCAATCCTGGGCACGCAAGCCGCTGCCACCGCTTTGCGCTCGGCGATCTGGGGACCCCGTTGGGCCCGCACCATGGCAGGTCACTCCGGCGAAAGGTCGCCCTTCGGTCCAGTCGATCGGTGATGGGCGCCCTCTCCCTCCCCCTGTCGACGGCGCGGCGCGGGGGGCGCCGCCAAGGGGGTGGGAAAGCGGGCCCGGCGCCGAACTGAGAAGCCCGCGCGGGCCTCCTAGAGCTGGTGCTGGTGCGCAGCTTCTTTCGGCCCTCCGGAGGAGGAAGCCATACGTCGAGACCTGCGGGGGGGCACGTCGAGGGGGGCACCGGCTCAGGGGGGGGGAGGCACCGACCTGGAGCCGGCGAGACCTCGCCGACGGATCGGCGATGACCCTCCGGCAGCGAATCCGCACCTCCTGGGCGGGGTGGGCCATCCTCCTCCTCCTCCTCCTCCTCCTCCTCCTCCTCCTCCTCCTCCTCCTCCTCCTCCTCGGGCCCTCATTGGCAAGCGATGGGCGATCGGGGGGCGATGCGCCCCCCCATGAGCTTATCCCCCGGTGGCTTTCGGCTCGCAACTCGGCTCCCCGGCGGCCGTTCAGGACGATCCAGGCACCCCTGGAACGCTCTCGACGAGGCGCAGCTGCTGGAAGGCATCCCGAGGCTGGAACGCCGCTGAGGACCGACGGAAGCGCCCGAAGTCCTCGAACCCCGAAGCCCACTCGGCTCCCCGGCGGCCGTTCGGGACGATCCAGGCACCCCTGGAACGCTCTCGACGAGGCGCAGCTGCTGGAAGCCATCCCGAGGCTGGACAGCCGCTGAGACCCGACGAGAACGCCCGAAGTCTTCGAACCCCGAAGCCCCCCCTCCTACCATCCTCCTCCTCCTTCCTCATCCTCCTCCTCCCCCCCCCCTTTCTCCTGCTCCCTCCTCCTCCTCCTCCTCCTCCTCCTCCTCCTCCCTCTCCTCCTCCTCCCTCCTCCTCCCCCTCTGCATCCTCCTCCTCTCAATCTCCTCCTCCTCCTCCTCTCCTCCTCCTCCTAAGGGATGGGAGGGAGGGGTAGGAAGTCAGATAGGACGCGAGCGACCCTTAAGCTTGTCCTACTCCCCTCCTCCTCCCCACTCATCCTCCTCTCATCCTCCTCCTCCTCCTCCTCCTCCTCCTCTTCCTCCCACCCTCCCTCACCTGCCCCCCTCCTCCCCTCCCACTACTCCTCTCCCTCCTCCTCCTCCTCCTCCTCCTCCTAAGGTCGCCCCTGAAGACCACCCCGGGGAACGACGGCCGTGTCATCTGGTCGAGATAGTCCTCGCTCACCATCTGCAGCCCTCCGCCGCCCCAGATCCACTGCCAGAGCCCCGTCAGCTGCCACATCCACCCCTCGTTCGGCCAGCGGCCACGGTTCAGCATCGCGGAAGGAGGCAAAGCAGCCCAAGCAGGAACTTTCGGAGCTCCGCGGGGACCTCTTGTATTCTGGACGCCCGCACCGGTACGGAGCGAAGAGGTACGACGCCCCAGCGCAGATGCTGCCCAACACTGACAGCGGCCGCTGTTGGGAGGCGACTCTCTATCTCAAGTGGGTAACGTCCGCGGCGACACCAGCAACAAATTCTGCACCAAATCGACAGGAACTGCTATCGGTTTTCGTCCCCATTCCTTCCGTACTGATATATCAGCGCTACTTCCCCTCCCTGGCGTGCGGGGCGCGCCAGGGGCGGCGCCCGAGACGCCGCTACGGGGGGTCCAGCGCCGACCCCAGAAGTCCCGACCCCTTCCCGGGACGGGCGTCTCATCCTAGGTAGTTTTTGTTACGGTTCCAAAGTCCCGTGGCCCCGTGGGGGTCCCCAAAGGCCGAAAATTGCCCAAAACTGTCGACCCTTTCTGCTTGTGCCCTGTTTTCCTCCTTCGCCATCAACTGCCCTACCCTGGCGAGCTGCCGGCACGAGAGCAGCTGGCCCCCACCCATGGAGATCTCCCCGTCCAGCCCGTCGTCGTCGAAGATGCCGCTGAGCCCCACGGGCTTCAGGAACACCTCCTCGAGAGACAGCAGCAGGGCGGGACCAGCTCAGGGGGGGAACACCGACCTGGAATCGGCAGCACGTCGCCGACAGATCGGCGAGAGGCCCTCGATAGCAAATCCGCACGTGCCCGGGCGGGGTGGGCTTTCGGGCCCGTATGCCTCCCTCCCTGAACCTATCCCCTGGTTGTCTTCGGTTCGTAACTCGGCTCCCTCGCGGCCGTTCGGGACGACCTGGGCACCCCTTGAACGCACTCGACGAGGCGCAGCTGCTGGAAGGCATCCCGAAGCCGGAACGCCGCCGAGACCCGACGGAAGCGCCCGAGAACTTCCAACCTCGAAGCCCCCGAACGTTGCCCCTGCATAGCCCTGGAACGCACCCGACGAGGCGCAGCTGCTGGAAGGCATCCCGAGGCCAGAACGCCGCCGAGACCCGACGGACGCGCCCGACAACTTCCAATCTCGACGCGCCCTGGCGTTGCCCCTGCAGACCGCCCCGGGGCGATCCGCCCCTCGGCGCGACAGTTGGGGCGCTGGCCCAAGGAACGACAAACAGGGAACGAGGCCCACTTCTTCCAGGAACTAAGCTTCGATCCCCGGTCGAGAGCCGAAGGAAAGCCTGAGGCAAACCGTGAAGCAACCTAGGGAGCACGGAGCCACTCCCAAACGAGAAGGGTTCTTTCTTCAGCGTTCCGGCTGAATCCCACCCTTGTGTTGCCCCCGACTCCTCGGCCCAGGCGATGGGCGTGGCCCAGCGCCCGAGCGGGGGCGACGTGAGCTTGCCGATCAGCGTGCTCAGGTGCTGGATGCACGGCGGCGAGCCCAGGGGTGGAAGGAAGGACGACGATGGGGGGGTCTAGGTTTCGAGGTTTTCGGGGGGGGGTCGCTGGCTCTCGGCGGCTGTCCAGCCTCGGGATGCTTTTCAGCGGCTGCGCAACGCCGAGAGCGTTCCGGGGGTGCCCGGATCGCCCCAAACGGCCGCCGAAGACCCGAGTCGTGCCCCGAAAACCAAACGACGAGGATCTTTGAAGGGGCAGGCCTTCTCAGAAGGCGGCGGGGCTCCTTAGAAGCCCGCGCGTCTTCGGAGAAGCCTTCGGAGCCTTCTCCGCCACAAGCGGCTTCTCAGAGGGCACCAGGGCTTCCGAGAAGCCCCGCCGCCTTCTGAGAAGGCCTGCCCCCTCCCACCTCCCCCCTGGACCTGCCGCCGAGATGTGCTCTCCGCTGTTGTACTCAAACTTCTGCGCTGGGGGCCCCTTGCCGAGGCCACTCGTGTGGGTCAGCAGGTGGCGGGCGGTGATCAGGGGCCAGTACTGGCCCCAGTTGGCGTGCGGCGTGACGTTGTACTTGGCGAGGGGCGTGTCTAGATCCAGCTTGCCCTGGGTCACGAGCACCCCGATGAGGAGGGCGTTGATGGTCTTGGCAGCACTGTCCACTTCGAGGCGCTCCGACGGAGATGCGCCAGGAGCATAACCTTCATAGGCGATTGCCCCGTCGTGCACGATGAGTATGCACCTCCTGCCAGGATCCGCCGTCGTGCTCACGGCAAGCCGGGGCGTGCTAGAATGCCGCTGGCGTGTTTGGCCTGTTCGTCACGATTTTCGGGGGCTGGTTCTTACCAATTCTGGTGGTTTGCTCTTCCAAGCTTCGGCGGCATGTTCTTACCAATTTCGATGATTCGTTCTTGCAGACCTACTCCTTGAACTCATTTGTCGGAATTTCGCAAATCCGTTCTGAAACTCGTGCCTGTTTTTGATCGCTGGATCTTTCTTGAACACTTGTTTTACGGTCTGCCTTCAGGGTTCGCCATCTGCCGCTTCCCCTGGCGCTCTCCTTGGCCTCAAGGCTGGCCAAGACCCCTCCCCCCGAAAAATGGCACGGCAAAATCACACGAGGGCCCGAAGAACCTCCCTGACGGCTCCGATGTCTTCCTTCCTCCTCCAGAGAGCGGAAGGGAACCCCGACGACCCTCAAGAAGTCCCCACATAACTCTGTGAGCTGCTCCCAGGTCCCAAACATCTTCCAGGTTGTTGTTCGTGTGGCCCTTGGGAGGCCAGGACAGCAGAAGAACGACAGGTGTTTCAATACTTTTTGTATTCCGCCCCAAAAGGTAGCACGACACCTCACCTCAGAAATCATACGCGCCCAATGCGGCCCCCGAGAGGTCCCCAGCGGCCCCGAGACAGCCAAAGACTGGGTGAAGACAGCCCCTGCCTTCCAAACAGCCTGGACCCGATTCTACAGCTTGCTTTTGGGAGAGCTCGGTTCGATTCGGATAAGTGGCGCGGACCCCAAACGGTGTACTCTGGCATACTACATGGTGCAATGTATGTGGTGCAAGCTAAATGGTGCAACATCTGCAGTGCAATAGAATGTGTGTAAACTATGTGTTGCAATATACGTTGTGCAATCTGTGCGGTGCAATTGGTTTTGTTCGCAGTGAGTTGTCAACTCTACTGTTCGCGTAATCATCCGACCCGCCCACCCGCAACGTGGTTTGCAAGACCCCATGCGGTGGCGATCGTGATGACTGCTCTGCGCTGGCTGGGGCATCGCCGC